GATTCTGTTAAATTTTTGACTTTTGACATTTTCTATAATTCTCATGAGATCAATACAATTACGATCTAAAATATTTAAAAGACGCTCTTTTTGAGTACACAAGTATGTTTTTTAAAAGTACCTAACTTTTTTTACATTCTTACCCCTCTCCGAGATCTGCTTTAGGGAAAAGAACAGGTGTAAAAGCAGTATGCTTTTTTGCATCTTTTTGGGCTCCCAAAATTGATATTCACGTTAAAATTCAGCTTGTTCCCAAGATTTTTAGGGGTCAAACGACTGCACTACAGGTTGAGTCATGACTATTGGGACATATTGTTCTGAAGCTATTTTCTTGTGGCATTGTAAATTAATTACTATTAAATTTTTATTATTATTATTAGAACGATTTCCGAAGTGGAAATTGAAACGTCAATAAACGTATTTTTATCTTTAATTGTGGCTTATTGGGACATAGACTAAGGACAGGTTATTTAAACCAAAATATGGCTATTGGGCCAAACATGCCTTAGTAAAATGTTGCTGAGAAAAAAGATACAGGGTGTTAAAGTTAATTTTTGTTTTTGGTTTTTTGCTAATAGTTTCCCTGTATATTTATAAATTGCTATCAAAATTGGCACAGAGGCATAATCTAAAGAAAAGTATTTAATTTACAATTTTTACGTTTTGTCATAGAAGGCGCCACGTAGATCATTCCTAATGATCAAATTGAGTCTAAGCTTTTCTGATGAAACTTTTTAGTAATTTTTATTAGAAAATATGACATAAACATTATTTTTACGTAAAATTGGTACATCTGTTTAAACATGATAATTTCAAACCGTTTTCGATAAAACACGCAGTCGAACTGCTTAGAGTCTTCAAAAAGGATTTTAAATATTATTTCATTTATGAAAAATATGCTTTGGACTGTCAGATAATTGTTGTTGGTAAATTTCATTTGTTCAGAGTAAATTATTTTTTAATATTGTTCTGAAGCTATTTTCTTGTGGCATTGTAAATTAATTATTATTAAACTGGGAATAAGCCACAATTAAAGATAAAAATACATTTATTGACGTTTCAATTTCCACTTCGGAAATCGTTCTCAAAATACAAACAGTAAATTAAACAAATTTTGTTTTTTGTTACATAGTGAAAAATTCTTCTAATAATTTAATTTTATCTGACTCATTTATATTGACAATTCAGACATACATTATGCATTTTAAAGTAGACGACTTTAAAATGATATTGCCAATATTGATGAGTTGCGCTCCTGGGACGACTTTACTTATAAGATAGTTCATTCGATTACATGAAATCAACTTTAACTTGAGAATATCCGTCAGAAAAAATCATAGCATGTAATTCGTCTTTAAAAAGACAAACACATGACATGATGACAGTAAAATTCTCCTGTTAGTGATTCCATAGTAAATTATGAGGGAAAACCAGGAAAAAACCTCATAATACTATCCCGACATTGTAAGTATTTGTTCGTGAATTTAGTTTACCTTCAACAAACATCAAAATTCTGATTTTATATGTTACGTTATTTAAAAAAAACATAAATGATGTATCCTCTATATGTTACTGACTTCCTAATACTGGTATTTTCTTATTAATAACTTCCTCTTTCAATATTGGTAACCAGATCCTACTACATTCTGCCGAAGAATTTGCGACACAATTGGCCTCATTTAACATAATTAGAGCCGCTTCTTTGATTTTTCTTTTTTTACCATCCGTTTTCTTTTAAGACTACATTTGAATTACTCCATTGAACCCTATGTTCATTATTAACTCAGGTGTATAGAAAACCAACACACACCAATAGATATTTAAATTTCAAATCAATCACAATATTAATGTAAAAAGGGAATAATTAAATCCTTATACGATAGAGCCAAAATTACTTGTTCTAATGAAAATTCGTTCTTGGAGGAGAAACATTTGTTAACATCTGTTTTATTAAAAAATGATTATCCTTTATCGTTTATAAATAAGGAATTTTCAACAATCGATCGAATAGAACAGAACAACTTAGAACGAGATCCTACAGCATACACAAGGAACAATATGAGGAAAATAACAATACCGTATATAAAAGGACTATCAGAAAAACTTAAAAGGATAGGAAATAAATTCAACATTTCAACAACATTCAAAACAACAAACACGTTGAGATCTATTTTGTCCAAAACCAAACCTAACAATGAACAAGAAAGGACAAAGAATTGCATTTATAAAATACCTTGTGAATGCGATCAGTTTTATTTAGGTGAATCATCAAGGCCATTAAATGTTAGAATAAGTGAACATCAATCTTATATTAAAAATAAAGAATTTGATAGATCTCAAATCTGTAAACACGCATGGGATAATGAACATAGGGTTCAATGGAGTAATTCAAATGTAGTCTTAAAAGAAACGGATGGTAAAAAAAAGAAAAATCAAAGAAGCGGCTCTAATTATGTTAAATGAGGCCAATTGTGTCGCAAATTCTTCGGCAGAATGTAGTAGGATCTGGTTACCAATATTGAAAGAGGAAGTTATTAATAAGAAAATACCAGTATTAGTAAGTCAGTAACATATAGAGGATACATCATTTATGTTTTTTTAAATAACGTAACATATAAAATCAGAATTTTGATGTTTGTTGAAGGTAAACTAAATTCACGAACAAATACTTACAATGTCGGGATAGTATTATGAGGTTTTTTTCCTGGTTTTTCCCTCATAATTTACTATGGAATCACTAACAGGAGAATTTTACTGTCATCATGTCATGTGTTTGTCTTTTTAAAGACGAATTACATGCTATGATTTTTTCTGACGGATATTCTCAAGTTAAAGTTGATTTCATGTAATCGAATGAACTATCTTATAAGTAAAGTCGTCCCAGGAGCGCAACTCATCAATATTGGCAATATCATTTTAAAGTCGTCTACTTTAAAATGCATAATGTATGTCTGAATTGTCAATATAAATGAGTCAGATAAAATTAAATTATTAGAAGAATTTTTCACTATGTAACAAAAAAACAAAATTTGTTTAATTTACTGTTTGTATTTTGAGAACGATTTCCGAAGTGGAAATTGAAACGTCAATAAATGTATTTTTATCTTTAATTGTGGCTTATTCCCAGTTTAATAATAATTAAATTATTTTTGATGTGACAGTGTAGTATAATGTTGCATTTTTTAAAAGTAATCATTACTTTTTTTGATTGAAATGCCTCGTCACAATCATTTTACTAATGAAAAAATGCGAGATATGATTTGCATATACGCACAAGAACATTTTTGCGGTCGCTCGGCAGCCAGAAGGTATGGAATGTTATACGCAAACGGAAGGCAACCAAATCACAAAACTTTTGCAACATTATATCGTAGTTTAGGTGAAACTGGGTCATTTCACACTAAAAGTCGGGGTGGTCGACCGAAACAAATCACACCTATTCAAGAAGATGAACTTTTGGTTCAAGTACATGAAAATCCTGAATAAGTTCACGACATCTATTAGCAGCAACAGGAGTAAGTCAGTACTTCCAACAGATCTTCCACGACGGTTACAGTTTTGCCAACGTATTCTGAATAAACATCGCAATGACAGACACTTTATTAAGAATATTATGATCACCGACGAAGCAACTTTTACCAGACGAGGGATTTTTAATTGGCGAAATAGTCATTATTGGGAAGAAGAAAACCCGCATGCTATTAAAGCTAGATATTTTCAGCATGAGTTTAAATTGAATATTTGGTGTGGCATTATAGGCGACCAACTACTAGGGCCTTATGTTCTTCCTCCGAATTTAAATGGAGATTCTTATTTATTCTTTTTGGAAAATACTCTTAGTGATATTTTAGATGATCTGTCACTGATGTAGAAGAAAAATGTTGTTTTATGCAGGATGGAGCGCCACCTCATTTTTTATTAGCTGTTAGAAATCATCTTAATGACGTATTTCCTCAACGATGGATTGGCAGAGGCAGTGATTTTCAATGGCCACCACGAAGTCCTGAGTACAACCCGCTAGATTTTTATTTTTGGGGACATATGAAGTCCTTAGTTTATGTCAATGAAATTAATACACGAGACGAACTTTGGAGATACATTCAATATGCAGCTAATCTTATAAGCTGACAGAATAATATTTTTTTTAAGGTCCGAAAATCCTTTATAAAAAGAATTAGAAAAGGCATAGAAATCGGAGGAGACCATGTAGAACATTTAGTTTAAGTTTTTGTGAGTTCTTTTAAGTTAAAGTGTGTTAAGTTTTGATTTATCGTCAAAACGGAAACCTTACGTTAGTTGCAACTTTGTTTATTAGTTTAGTATTTGATAGTGGAATTGTAAATAAAATACTATTTCTTGCTAAGATTATGCCTCTGTGCCAATTTTGATAGCAATTAATAAATATACAGGGAAACTATTAGCAAAAAACGAAAAACAAAAATTAACTTTAACACCTGTATCTTTTTTCTTAGCAACATTTTATTAAGGCATAGTTGGTCCAATAGCCATATTTTGGTCCAAATAACCTATCCTTAGTCTATGTCCCAATAGTTATGACTCACCCTATAAGAATGTTTTTAATTGCACACGGACCTTTAAGGATAATCCATACGTCATATGTCGTCTATATTAGTTGTTTTATAAATGATTTTAATTTAAACATACGCTAATTCAATTTGGGAGTTAATCATTTCGTTGGAATTTTGATAAATAATTTGTATACCTATGTACATAGAATCAAAGGGGTTTTTTGAATGCACATTTATGTGTATCACAATTAACATCGAAATTTCCAGATAACCTTGGCATTCTGTTTCTACTAAATTGTATTAAGCTAATTATATATTCACAATCATATCCTAATTTACCATCCTGAGATAACATTAAATCTATAAGTACACAAAATTATTTGAAATATGCGAGACGGTATTATAATTTTAAGAATTTTGATAAAATTCCTTTAATTTAAATATATAAATTAAAAATTGTACTTCTACTTCACATCATTACAGTAGTCATACTTGTTAGCATCAGTATTAACTTCTTAGAATTTTATAAAAATGTCTCTAGTCAATGGAAAATACGTTAAGAGTGGAGAAGAAGGCTTCAAAGAATTTATGATCAGCCAAGGTTTGTATATGCAAATATTATATGTATAATATTTATATTATATTTTATTTTACTATATAATATATAAAACAATTTTTACTGAACATTATCAACACCTTGACCTCAACTATTTTTTTTTATTATTATTATAAATTAGTGACAATTGTTTGGATGCCTGTTTTGCTATAGTCAATTGGAACAGCCTTTAAGAGAGAAAATTATATCTAATTTGCTTTTTGTGTAGTGTCATTGTCCATAATATTTTTTTATGAGATTTTCGAATAATTTTTTTTAATTATTGAGTTAATGCCTCGACAACTAAGATCATTGGCATGGTACAGTCAGGTATCTAGTGTGTGTGAGGGGTGTGTGTGGTGTGTGGTGAGAGTAATTGTCTTGATACTTAGCAAAGTCGACGTCATTGTCTTTGCTAAGAGACGCTAATTGTATCCGAACGTCTGCGGTCCCGTCCGGTGAGTACCGATCGCACAAGGATAGAAATTATTTTCATTTATTAATTTTTAGTAAACGAAAATTTCTCCACCCAGATGAGATTCGAACTCACGACCTTTAGGTTTAAAGGTAGGCGCTCTTACCGCTGAGCCACAGAGGGGATTATTTTCGAATAATTATTACATATCATTTTTTTACTTTTGTATGATGTACAAATAATTTTTTGTGTAATATTTAACAATTTTTACTAAAGAATGCCTTGATTTACGAAATATTAATACATTTTTTAGGGCGTTTAGTTATATATTTTTCCCTTTGCTATTTTGAAGTCTTTATCATTATTTAATTTCACCAATTTATATTTAGTTTTATGACTGGTCTGCAAAAGTTAGTTTCCTTCTTTTTGTTTTCATGCATAATAATGTTATGTTTGGTGCTTTAAAGTTTTCCGACTAACAGATAACAGACAATCGATAGTATTTACTTTTGACATATATAGCATTACTTCTGGCCATTTCCCATTGTATCATCTTCCAATGTGCAATATATCCTGATGAAACCTTTCACCAAGCTCTTCTGACGGTGATCAATATACGAAGGCATATAGATTCAAAAGCCACATTCTCCAGTTTTTAACTTTTAGAAGAAAGAAAAAAAATACAAACAACATTATGTCAAATATAACCGAATTTTTTTGTTTACGTTTAGAAAGTAAATTAATGATGGATTTTATAAAGATAACAGAGGAAACAGTTCGTTCTGAAAACAAGCTTAATTGAAATGTTCAGATAAAAAAGTTCCATAGTATAAAAAATTTATGTTTTATTGTTCTCAATTTTTTCTTTAAAATATAAAACTTGCCAATAAAAAATTTAATTTGGAAAAGAGTCATTAACAGCAAGGCACACTTCATCTTCTTCAGTTGCAACTCTTTCTTCTGGATCGTCTAATGCACGCTTGTTAAAAGGGAATTCTTTAAACTTTCTCCACTCATCTCCATAATGTTTTTTAAATGAGAATTTACGGCGTCTTTTATTTGGGGTATTGCTATACAATTAACTTTACCAATAGTCTCGGACCTTAAACTACGGATAATTTGTCCTCCATTAGTGATGCTTCGTGCAGTGTGAGCAACTTCTAAGTTATCCCACCCTGAACCAAAATACGGGTGACATTTTGTACCTTCTTTCGTATAAAGTAAACTCGCCTACACGACTGTATGCCAAAATGCAAAAACCAGGAGCTTTTATGACTCCCGTTGTTACCGATTTCCAATTTGCAGCTGTTACATCTTCTTCAACCGGTGACATATAGATCGAGACATAGACCATTTCCAAGGCAGATGAAAACTTACGGCTTATATTTGAACAAAGGGTCCTGAGAAGAATATTTGGTGCCATATGTGAAAATGGTGTTGGAGAAGAAGGTACAACTACGAGATATATCACAGATATAAACATACATATATTTGGGCTAAAGAAGTAGTATCTCTTATAAAAATAGAAAGACTAAGATGGACAGGACATCTGGCAAGATCACAGCAGAACAACCCTCCCAGAAGAATACTTATGTCACAACCTGTGGGAAGTAGAAGTAGGGGTAGGCCAAAACTCAGATGTAGGGATGGTGTAGATGAGGATGGTAGAAAAATAGGCGCAGCAAACTGGCAACAGTTGGCAATGGATAGATGAGCGTAATAGGCTTGGGAAGGTCGAGGCTCTTTTATAGGGCTGTAGCACCAATGATGTTATAACATCATCTCCAAGCTTGTTAACAGTAGCAAATCTGTCTATTATTTAAATATATTCCGCAGGATTAACGATTATCCTACACTTTCTGATTTCCCTCTCAATATTTGCAAAAACGCGATCAGGAGGGAGAAATCTGTGGACTGTCATTGGAAAACGGACTTGAGCTCCGTTATATGATTTGACGCATTTAACAACCATTTGGCCAGCATGTCAAGTAAAATTGTGTTTTTGTTTTGACCCCCAAACCCATCACTAATACCACATAATAAATCAAATAAATAGGATGCATCTAAACTAAACATCTAAACTTTATCCAAACTGGTTCTCAGTTCACACGTAGGAACCTTAGTAAGATGTTAAAATTAATTAAAGTATAACTGTCGACTATAATAATTGGATTGATCTGGAAGTTTCGGTAGCGTCTGATTTTTTGCCAATCAAAGCTCAAAATCAACAAGTCATCTCTGACTTCCTTAAGGAGGTCATAAAATGCTGTATATTTTAACTTGTTTACTCGTTTTGTTGTTATGACAGTAGTTTTTTGCTGTACATCCTTGCATACTTTTATTTGATCAGTAAGTGACAAACAAGTTAAACTAAACATCCATCCATGGGCTACCAAATCCTAAGTTATATTGTGTGTTAAAAATATATTTTAAAGTATTGCTCTTTTACTTCAACAGTGTTTTGTCTTGTACAGCTTTTATGTATATAATCGTATCGCAAATGTTTTCGTACATTAAGTTCTGTTGAGACATACTTTCGACCCATCTTATTTGGACAATAGGGGTGCGAGGCATATAGTGGGACACTTTTGAATGTTTAAGTCATTCAGGTGCATCTCTTATTTTTTTAAAGGTGAACGTATAAAATCATTGCTTTGGGTATTCTCGACTATGTGTCAATTGAAGTTTTAAATAGTTAACAAAAAGGACTGCATAATCATTGACCCAGTAAGAACCATTTGTCTCAGTATGGACCAATATTGGTTCATACTGGGACTCCTATTGGTTTATATTGGGACACATATGGTCCATACTGTCCATCTGATGAAGAATCAATATTAAAAAATTTTAAAAAAATTGTTTGTAGTAAAATTAACATTACAAAAATCATTTAAAACATTTTATATGGAGATAAACCAAACTGATTACATAACTGATAAAATAAAACATTACCTTTTTATTGAAAATATTAAATATTTTCCTTATTATTGTTTGGAAACCGTAAATTAATGACAAACACAACATGTATAAACAGATGACTCAACACAAGTGATTTTTGAGGTGTTATACGCAATTTGCAAGGTTGCTTAATCATATGTCCCAATAAGAACCATGTTCTACTCTTTCGTAATATGTTTTGCTACAGTTCAAGCTATTTAAAAACGCATCACTGGCTTTTTTCCGTTTCCTCTTCTTCTTTCTTTTGGCAATTCACCACTAGTAAAGTAACTTTGGGCTAAGCGATTCACCCTACACCTGGATACATTTAAGATTTCCAAAATATAGTATAGCAAACTGGGACTTTTTTTTTCTTTTCATTGTTTCGTATACAATATTTCGCTCTAGCTTGTTGTGCTGTATTCCTATTATTTTTAGGACACTTCTTTTGATTTGCTGCATAGACAACTGTTTTAAGATAAAATTATTTTGTGATATTTTAACCTGTGTTGCATAAAACTTTAAGTGAAAACGTCTAATATCATGGGTTGATATTGTTCTGCATAATAGTGCGATACTACAGTGGTTACATGTCAGAAAGATCGGGAACCCCTTTTTCCTTTATATCTAAAAAACGAAAAAAGTTCTGCCAGACATTTTAAATTTAACAATGCACAATTAAGATTAAAGTTATGTTAAATACCTACATTTCTTTGCTTCACTTCTCTTCCATTTTTTCGGTACCTTCACTCGTTTCATACCAGTTTCACCAATACTTGTGTTTACTGGTCCGTACACTTAAATCCAATATTTTTGTATTTTATTACATTAAATATCGAAAGAAAATGACAATAACTTAAAAAAAGTACTTTGCTTGTGTGTAACTAATTCACGATAGACTGAGCCGAAAGGCGAACTGCCACTAAAACACAGCCTAGATGGCACGTGACCGTAACTGACCGTCTCATAGGCTGAAAGGAAGAACTTGAGTTCTGCAAGTTAATACGGCGGATAATGTTAGTATTAGGATAACAATGCGATTTTTATTCATTAATTTGTACAGAAGACTGTTAGTTCTGCTCTCTGAAACTTTGAAAAATTGTGTATTTCAATATGGAGAATATGAAACAACTAAAAACACATTTTTAGCAAAAACTGGAGATTTTGACTTTTGCATCTTTACCCTTTATCTCATAGAGCCTGATTTTTAGGAAAAAAAATACAAGTGCGAACTTAAAAAATAAATCATAAGTGGCATGTTGCATCCTAGATCTTTAAAAGCACAAAAAAGTTCTTGAATAATTTCTCGGTAGTTTTCAGCTTTCTTATTGCTTAGTAAATTATGAGACTTCTATTAGAGCTGCACAAGTTTTTTTCTGATTTGTTTAATATCAAATTAAAAGCTACATTTGTCATAAGCTCTCATATATGCTGACCAACAAAAATCTCCTGCATTCAATTTCGCGTCACTCATTCGGAGACATTCAGTTTCAAGGAAGTGAAATCCTTTACAATTTTTTTTTTTATACCTTTTACGAAATTTGTTATGAATCTTTCCGTTATGTGAAGTGGTAGCAGGAAAACTTCTAATCAAATGGCATTAAAGGTTTTAGAAGGTGTTAAATTCTTCTTCTTAGCCAATTTTCAGTATTGGTTGGCAATCAAAGTGGCTATTTTTATTTTAGAACTTGCTGCTCTAAACAACTCAATCGATCTGCATTGATACCAATCACGTAGATTCTGTAACCATAAGTTCTGCCTTCGGCCAACAGATCTTCTTCCTTGAATCTTTCCCTGTATTATGAGTCTCAAAATTTCATGTTTTGGTCCCCTCATCACGTAGCCTAGGTATTCCAGTTTTCTGGTTTGTATTTTCAGTACGTAATGTTTATCTTTTGCACGACTGCCCCATTCACATAAATCTCCACCAGTAAGACAGTAAGTATAGCTACGACTTTTAGACCAGCACATATATTTCACAGCTGTTAAGAATATTTTATTTGCTCAAGTAATACCTCCAAATTTGTATAATTGTCTTTCACGTTTTTTACGTGCGCATGTTAATGGATTAAGAATACTTTAAACTAGAGATTTGCTTTTTTTTTTCTAAACTTCACTTATTGGACTAGACCTGTTTATTTCAAAGACGTATTTTGACCATGAGGTTGTTTCTGATTTTTTATGTAATTGGGCTCTAGTTTATAAGCATTTAAATTTGGTTTACTTTCTTAGTTTGTGTGCCGTTGAAACCTATAGACAGCTTTTTTACTTCTCGTATTGCTTCTCACTCTTTATTCTACCATGGTACTGGATGATGATTGTGAAATTTTTGTTTTTTTAATATAATGATCGTTTTTAAGTCGATAAAGTTGGTGATTGTTCTATAGATATAACAATGTTTATTTCACAGCTTTATATAAAATTTCGGTTTAAATCTTCTCGGTTTTCTATTTTGAAACAAATATGTCTTGTGGTTCCGGTAGGATTCGTGTCTTTTTTGATCTATTTATTTTTGTAAATTTATTTACTTATTGATAAATCCTCAAAACTATTATAGGAATGCCAGAAAATTTCGCCCAACGTCCACAAGATGAGAAATTCATAAGTGAATACAAACTAGACGGAAATAAACTGACCAGAAGTCATATTGTTGAAGGAGCTGCTGACAAAACACGAACGAGAGAGATCATTTTAGGACAAGAATATGAAGAACAATTTGGGCCCCGTAAAGTTAAGGTAAGAAGACTTATTAAAGGTTTTTTGTTTATTTTCCAGTTTCGTCTTTATGTAATGGATTCAGTTGGGAAACTTTCTGTGAAAATGTTATACAGCAATTTTCTTCATATTTCAAAACATGTTTACTATGAGTTTAACTAAACACATGTCCTTTATTGAGATCAATAATTTTAATGTAACTCTCCTGTTGTAAAATATGTAAAAATATGTTATTAAATATTACCTATTTTTCTAGAATGTGGCAACACTTGAAGGGAATGTTCTCACAATAACAAGTCTTAAGGAAGATGGATCTACAGGAATATCAAGAATACACACTTTTTCCGAAGATGGATTAGTAGTTGTAAGTATAGATGTATATTTTTAATAATTATGTATGCATATTATCTTTGTGTTGTCAAAGCTTCCTTACTCTACAGCCTTATAATATATAGTGGAATAAAAATTGCTATGAGAAATATGACTGAATCTCTGGACCAATTTAAAAATGATTATCACTGGTTCGGTAATATGACGTAATTGTACATATTGACACCTTGCTAATCTGATTTTCTTAATTTGTCATTTACTGCTAAAGCATTGTTTGCTTGTACGTATTTAATACCGTAATAATATGTAATTTGAAATCATTTTAAGAACTTTTTTGAATTTAATATATTTAAAAATTTTTAGGTTCATAAAAGCAGCAAAGGAGAAGGAAAACTTTTGTTCAAGAGGTTGTAAGTGAACAAACACAAACATTATACGGGTAGATATAATATTTTCTAAAATTTTTAAATAAAGAATTCTAAAAAGTTAACTACAGCTCTTTAATTGTTTATTGTCTAGAACCCAATGCGCACACACACACACACACACACATATATATATATATATATATATATATATAGAGTAAGAAAAGAGAAACAGATTTATATATATATATATATGTAAAAGATTAAATCTTTTAGCTGCTATCACTTTGTTGAATTAAATGGTCTAGGGACAAATTCGTTAAATTTCCCGTGCTCGAATCGGTATCAACAAATTTTATGAATCATTTCGGCATATTCCAGTCTCATCAGACACTTGGACTGATATAAAAAACTCTATAAATAAAAAATAAAAATAAAAATAAAAATAAAAAATAAAAACGTTTATTGCCATTTCTTCCATTATAAGTAAATTCAAAATTTTAGCCTTCTTTTCTTCAGCGTCCCGCTCTTGCACCGCCATCTTCTGATTGTTTTTCCTCTCGGGTCCTGGATCTTCCTGGGTGGTGTCCTCGTCTGCTTCTGTAGGTACTGTGTTCGGCAAACGTACCTACTTCCCTGGTAACCTGGCTAATGGATCATGTGGTCGATGAGTCTATGGGTTTCACGGTGTATCCTCTGGATCCTGTTTTTCTCGAGGATATCCCTGGTTTTCCGCAGTCTTCTTGTAGCCTGGTTGAAGAACCATCTGGTCCTGTTCTCGGCCACCTCCCTTAGTGGCCTGTATCCTAATCTGTTCCGGATTGTTTTCATTGGTAACTCTATCCTCCCATGATGTTCCGTCGATGATTCGGTAGCATGAATACTGGAAAGTCCAACGAATCTCTCCTAAAAACTTGACCACTGCAGTGGTTAGCGTAGAGAGGTGCCACCTTCTTTGGCGGCTATGAACGAAAATAATCTAATAATATCGTTTTTATGAGATAAAAAAATAAACGAGTAAAAGGTGAGTTTTAAAAGTTTTATAATACAGATGGTTTTTAATGGAAAAGATCGAATTACGGTTCTAATGACGGGACGCTTCATCTATTGAATAACATTTTATAGTGAAGTTGTCAACTTGTTTATCCTTTGTTGTCCCCATGTTGTCTTTCCCAAACGATTCTCCTTTATATAAGGCGACGGTACAAAAAATTGTGAAGCGCTTTGATTCAACTAGATGTGTTAATGGTGACTTCCGAATAAGTAGACCAAAAACTGTTATAAATTACAATAAAACTAGATTTAATGCAGAGTTTGTTTAAAATCTACATACATCATCACACAGAATAGCACAATAGATGATGTATACTTCATTCTACAAATATACGACTGTTTTAAATAATAAGCTGTCTTCCTGTGATAAAGATTTGCCTGTAGGACCCTAAATGACATCTTTTGGGGCTATATTCTATGAGTGAATGACCGGGATTGTTCTTCTGATCTTTCGTCTACATTTCTTATTGCCAATTTAAAAGTTCTCAGCCCTCTTTTTGTCTTGTTTCCATTTTATTTGTACAAGTCGGGACGAAATAATGTCGTTACAAATGCGCCCATGCCATGCCATGTCTATAATCCGCAAGTTCGCAAGCTCTCTGGGGTATCGCTTATGTTTTCTCCCATGGATACAATGGTGGGACACCTCAGAATTAGCAAGCAAAGTAGTTGCAGTATAAATATTATCCATATAATGACTTGTAGTGCAGCTGATTGCCGACTGAACATAATGCAGATATGCTTGTGCACATGTATGTTTTGTCTTGGGGTATCTGCGTATGTGCGTATATTTGTTTGTAAGTATATGTCAAGTCAAGCAATACACTAGAGCTTTCTGAAATCATGACTGAAAGAATTCGCGTTGAACCGAAAATATTAAAAAATATTTGTTTCACTAATGAATGTACTTTTATGCTGAATGGTAATGTAAATAAACAAAACTGTCGCTACTGGAGTGATTGCGAAGCCGCATCGATTCAGAGGTCATACTCAATATCCTGGAAAACTGAATGTTTGGGAAAAAATATTAGGCGATGGGTTAATTGGCACCTTGTTCATACCAGGCAATTTAAGTGACGACATTTATCTCGATATGCTGAAAAACATGATTAAATCTTTAATTGTGCATGAATTAGAGAACCAAAGGGACGATTGAGGCAACCTAGCTCTAGACGAAGATTTGCTACACTTCCAACAAGATGGAGCACCTCCTCACTATGCAGCTCCAGTAAGGCATTGGTTGGATACCAATTATCCGAACAAATGGATTGGAAGGAGAGGTAATATTGAGTGGCCTCTGAGGTCACCGACTTACCGCCACCAAACTTTTTTATCGGGTTACCTCAAGTCAGTTGTTTATAAAACTCAACCTGCATCACTTGAGGAATTGCGAAAAATAATTACGCAAGCATGTCGCGCTATTACTAGAACAACATTTGCCAAAGTTCGTGCAGAATTGGAAAATAGGCTGTATTATTGTTTGCAAAGCAACCGAATTCACTTTTTACATTTACTTCATTGACATTTTAACAATTTGTAGTTCAACTATAAGTCAATAAATTTTCCATTTAGCAAAGTTTTACAATTATACTTCACCCTATAATTTTTATTTATACTATTGAATGGCATTTTTTATAGTGTTTTCAATGATGTATTACAAGTAGGGGTTTGTAATTTAAACTTTTTTGGTTGTGGTGGGTGAGGCCTAGGTGCTGGATGGTCATAAGTTCTCTTTCATGCCATTTGAGTTCTCCCTTACTATCCTAGAAACAATTAAGCATTTTTCGATATCAGCTTTTATTCGTGAGATATAAATCATTGTAAGTTTTAAAATTGACACAAAAACTTTTGTTTTTAAACGTTAAAGTTGATCATTCAGAATTATGTTTGTATTTGTTTAAATTGTTAATTTCCATAGATTCTAATAGATACCTTAAGTCCTGTATTTTAAATGCGAAGAATTAAAAGAATGATTATGGTATAGAAAGTGAAGTGCGTATGTAGAATCTGTTCTTCTATAATTGAAAACCCTTTTACGTTCTGCTATAACGTTTTTAATAAGTTTTATCAGTTTGACCGACGTAAGTTTGTGGGCAGTAACCACATTTAAGTTTGTTAACATCACTGTATAAATGTTTTTGCTTTTAGGTCTTGCTGTTCTTAATATATTTGCTTAACTTTCTGTTTGTTCTAAAAGCTGATGTTGTATTTTATTCAATTTCCAAATCACTCTTGATTCATTTTATTTGACATAAAAAATCTTTTTCGTAGTATTCCTCTTACAGAAACTTTTGTTCTAGTAAAAAACCTTTTAGATCTTCTTGAAATTTGTATAAACCAGAACTACTTTGAATTCAATAATCAAATATATACAAATAAAAGTGCAGGACTTTTTATTTTTATGGATAATGAGACATCCATACATAACATATATTTCAAAACATCCCGTATTCAAACAGTTTTGATATTGGTAGAGATACGTAAACGAAGTTCTGGTAATGTTTTACAGGAACGAACAGGCAACTTAAACAATTCTTATCGTATATTTCACTCAGTCATGTTGAATTTATTATAAACTATCGAAACAGAACGACATCAATCCCCAAATTTTCTAGATAAGTTCTCCGTATTTCATAGAGCTACCCATACTGACCCAACTATACACAATTTATTATCCCATCCTACACAACATAAAATGGCAACCTGCCATAGAATGTTACGTAGATTACTAGAAATTCCCATGTCAAAAAAACAACTTCGAGATAGAATTGAATATCATTAAGCAAATAGCAGTAGCAATGGGTAAAACGAACAAAGAATAAATAAAATTTTAAATCTAAAACTACATGAGAAAGTCCTGAAATCCTGAAATTAGTATTTCCATCACCAGAGAAAAACCCAGTACCTTTGCTCGATTGCATATTCTTCTTCTTTAAGTTCCATCTTCTATCGAAGGTTGGAAATCATCATGGCTATGCGGACTCTGTTGACTGCCACTCTAAAAAGTTCTGCACTACTGCATTCAAACCATTTCCTTAAGTTCTTAAGCCAGGATATTCATCGTCTTCCCACATTTCGCTTTCCTCGGATTCTGCCCTGCATAATTAGTTGTAATAATGCGTATTTTTGCCCTCTCATCACATGTCCCAAGTACTCAAGTTTTCGTCTTTTAATAGTTAATATTATTTCCGCCTTATTTCCTATCCTTCTAGTTACTTCTATGTTTGACATTCTTTGAAACCATGATATTCGTAGGATTCTCCTGTAACACCAAAATTCAAAGGCGGCCAGCTTATTCAGATGAACTTGTTTGAGTGTCCAAGCTTCCAGACCATAAAGAAGAGTAGAGAACACATAACATCGAAGCATTCTCAGGCGTAGTTCTAACCTTATATCCCGACAACAAAGAAACTTTTAAAGTTTAATAAATGATGTACGTGCTATTTCAATACGTGTCTTAATTTCTTTGGTTTGGTCTACATCTGATGTTATTCATGTTCCTAAATATTTATAGTTATTAACATTCTCAATTGCAGTATCTTCAATAGTCAATTGGATATTTGCATGTGCAGATTTAGTCATGATCATGCATTTAGTTTTCTTTAAATTGCATATACATATAATATATATATCGCAAGATATTAACAAAAAAAGCCAAATACATAAAAAAGAAAGGAATAACACACGCTTTTAGAACAAAGAACAACTTAGACAAATATATTTAAGAACAACAAAGGCAAAAAGTAGAAGTAGGGGAGAGGGGAGCAAGTTGTTACATAATTGATTCTATTATTTATTTGGGCAATAGTAGATCTTTTATATAAAAACTAAAATCGGATTAGGTAGTTGATACATTTACACAAATAATGTTAATTTTAATTTATTTAAAAAATCATATTTAACATTTTGTTATTATCAATTTAACTCAACTTGTAAATTGTAACAACATACCCCACTATGAGGCAAATTGTTACAGTCCATGGGGTAAGATGTTACAATAGAAAAAAAAATTCTAAAAACTTCCCACAACATTATTTAGTGGTCACAGAAAGAACCCTTGCTTAGCTACAAA